CTGCTGCTTTGGAAATCCAAAGGAGGGCTTGGTATGGGGGTGCACACCTGTGATTCCAAAAGAAAGGAGGGGAGGACTTGGGATGTAGCTTCGTATGAAGGTCCTGAGTTCAATCCCCAATAATGTACTACAAAAAGAAGAAACTCACAACTCCTGGTTCTTACACTGCCCTCCTCCAATTTCAAGCTGCAGCCCAGGCCTGCAGCCCACCCGCCCTGGCTGTTCCCTACACTGAAACCTCCAGGGCTCAGCGCTTGCTCCTGAACAGCTGTCCCATTTCTGGGTCTGCAAGGTGTAGATCCCTCTTCTCGCTCCTCTTCCCTTCCGCACTCGAGGGGTCTGAGTCCCTTCCCTGCCCCACCCCCTCCTCAGGCCCACCACATTGATCTTGCCTCTTTTCTGGCTTCCACCCCAACCCTCAAAGTTAGGGCTGTCCCATGTGTGTAGCTGGGTCCTATTCCAGATGCACGGTAGGTACCTGGCCAAGGTCGCCCTCTCCGAGTCACCTCCCGCTTAGGCTGGCATCTCCAGGAGTGGCTGGCAAGCTTGGTTCCCGTGCCTGCCACTGTTTCTGCTGCCCTCCCCCTTCCCCATCTTTGGTCCCTTTGTGGCCAGAGATGGCTGGAGAGCTTGCTGCTAGGAGATCTTCTTGAAGTTGTTGCCCTTGCAGCTCAGATGGCCAGAGGAGGAAAGGGCAAAGGTGGCTGGTAGAGAAGGCCACCCTCCACCTGGGAGGGAAGGGGGCTGGCAGATTTGGGCTCTTACGAAGCCCTGCCCATGGTCCTAGTGACACAGGAATCTTAGGCCCAACCCCAGGCAGCAGGCAAGGATTCTGGCTACTGCAACCCTGAGTGTGGCAAGTTCCCAAGAGACACTGGGCACAGCCTGCGTCTACGCCTGTCAGGAGACCAGCCACTTGGCCAGGGCTGTCCTCCCTGGGAGCCTGAGAGACCACTCTAGGGCCATAGCCGCCGCATCCTGTGCCCCTTGTGTCCCTATTGAAACAGACCCTCTTAAGTTCATTTTTAAATTTTTTTTTTAAATCTTTTTGAGACAGGGTCTCACTATACAGTTCAGGCTGGCCTACAACTCACAGCAATCCTTTTGCCTCAGCCTCCCCAGTGCTGGGGTTATAGGTGTGCATCACTGCACCCAACAAAGCCCCTTAAGTTTACTCAGATGGGGTCACACCTGGAGGCACACTGCCCATCAGACACCTGGATACCTGGTTTCTTGTTTATTTTTGCTGGGGTTGGAACTGCCTGTACGGGACAAATGCTCAGCACTGAGCTGCAGCAGCCTGGACAGCTGACTTCTCCCAGGCCTTAATGCCCCCCACAGCCCTTCAGATCCCTTCAGCAGTCCCAAGAGAACCCTTTACAAAGAAGGTATTCAAACACACACTCAGGTGGCAGAGGTGGCCCACCCATTACAGTGCACCAGAGACCTGACTTCTGCTTCAGGGGACCCACAGGGGTCTGTAGGAGGGCCAGAGAGTGGGGACAGTGTTGGGGGCGGGGCCAGCAGGGGAGGCAGCTCCAGGAAGGACTCTCTTTGTACCTGTGACTTGGGGAACTGGATTGTGAGCAGTTTCTGTCCTGATTCCCCTTTTGCCAGCCTTCTTTCTTCTGTGTGTGTGTGTGTGTGTGTGTGTGTGTGTGTGTGTGTGGCACTGGGGGTCTTTGCATTGAGCTACACATCCCAAGCTCTTATTTATTTACAAATTTATTTATTTATTTATTTATTATTTGGGGACAGGGTCTCATTTAATTATCAAGGTTGCGCTTGAATTTACGATCCTCCTGCCTTAGCCTCCGGCGTGCTTGGGTCACAGGTGTGCATAGTCACACCTGGCCTTTCCCCTCCATTCTGCCCTTCCCCCTTATGGGGTCCAATCCTGGAGCTGAGGCCAACCCTCTGCCGCGCCTGGGAATCATGAGGAAGTGATCCTGCCTGTGTCTGGGGCAGCTTAGCTTCTTCCCCTCCAGAAGTGACAAGTTCCCTCAAGGCTGGTTAAAAATAAGGCCAAGAAGCAGAAGCATCACAAAGGCGGACACACAGCAAACACCCCCACAGAGGGACAGCCAGAGGCAGTGGCAGAGGCACTGGTCCCCTGCCCATCGCATCTGTTTATCTGGCTGATGGCAAGGGACACGTGGTTCCTGGACGTCCTTGCAGAGTTCCACATTAGTGTCCTGAGTCTCTGTTCCCGGGTTTGTCCCACGAGAGGGGGAGTGCTGGCTGCGCTGCTGTAGCCACACTCTGTGGCCAGTGGGAGGGAGCCACTGTCCCCCATCCCTGCTGTCCTGGTGGATCCTCGCAGCTGCCCAGGTCTGTCCCTTCTGTTCCTACTGATCACTCCTCCAGGGCCATACCTTTGCCCCTTGTCCTGGCAGCTCCATGGGATGGGTTGGCCCCAGATTAACAGGCAGGGGCTCTGCTGATCCCTTCCCTTGAGTCCTACAACCCCGGCTCCAGAAGACCCCAGGTAAACCCCACCATTCTGCCCCTACTTTCCACCAGCCTTGCTGGACCTGGGCTCACCCTAGGTAGGTCCCCAATGGGTAGCTTGCATCATGGTTGCAAGGCTGTGTCTGGGACAGGCGGTGACACAGGTAGCTGGGGACAGAGGCTGACGTGGATCTGCTCTGTGTCCAGCCTGAGGACTGGAGGGCCAGGACGGGGGGCGGGGGGGACAGGGCTAAGGGTGGCACCTGAGCATGAGGGGGCTCGAGGACAGAGGCAGAGGCCACTGAGGGAATGGAAGGGGAATCATTTTCACCCAAGGCAGCTCTCTGAGACCTAGGGGGCTGAGGGTCAGGGAGGGGGATCCATGACTCCCCTAGAGCAGGAGGAGGTCCAGGGTGTGCGCCAGGGATGGGGAGTAGGGTGGGGTGGTGTTGTGGGCATGGTGGCTCACAAACAGGAAGTGCAGGAGCAGGGAGGATCCCAGCTCTGCCTTCGGAAACTGCAGTAAAGGCAAGTTCCACTAGGAGGGCTGTCGGAGGAGATGACTTCTCCTGCTCCTGCCTGGTGGACTGGCCCCTGACTATACTTCCACAGTTCTGGAAATACCTCCCCCATCCTTCCACTAGCACTCAGGTGCAGGCATATGTGTCATTCTGGGCCACCTCTCTTGCTGTCCCCCTGCCCCTCCCAGGCTGCCCACATCTTTGTAAACGCTCTCAGTTGCCCCGTGGGCAGCTTCCCATCTGTACCCAGAGACTGGCCCTGCAGGATGCATAGAGAGCTCTCTGGGATATAAGGCACTCTGTTCAACCTTTGGTTGTGTGTGGGTGTGTGCGCGCGTGCGCGCACGCGCGCCAGGAAGTACTGGGTATTGAACCCAGGACCTTGTTTGCACTGAGCTGCATCTGTAGCCCTTTATTTTTCATTTGGAGACAGGTTCTTGCTAAGCTGCCCAGAGGACTTGCACTTTCGGATTCTACTGCCAAAGCAGCCTTGGATTTTTACATGAAGAGAAACTTTACATGGTCTCCCTAAAAGGCTAGGACAGGAAGGTTATAAATTCAAGCTCAAGCTTGATAATTTAATGAGACCCTGTCTCAAAATAATAAATAACTGTCGTGCCAGCCCTGCCCCTGGGGTGCACTAAGATGGCAATTGAGACTGGGTGTGGTGGCGAGTGCTTGTAATCCCAGCTCTTGGGAGGTTGTAAACAGACAGATCACTACAAGTCCGATCTAGTAGTGAGACCTTGAAAACCCTGTAGACCCTTCCCTACTACTGCTACTACTACTACTGATAATCATAACAATAAATAAGTAAATAAGAGCCGGGGATGTAGCTCAATGCAAGGACCCTGGGTTCAAGCCCCAGTACCAGCTAAGTGACCTGTCCAGGATTACCCAGCCTGAGTCTGGGTGCATCACTGTGCTAAAAAGACTATGGAAGGGCTGGGGA